TCCGACTTCAATGGTTAGGGAAAAAAAACAATTGTAAAACATTTGCATAGATTATTATGATTTATCAAGTAAACGTATTTCCTGAGGTAAAAAAAAAATTGTATTCAAGTGAGTAATGTACGTGGGAAAATGATTGAAGTGTAATCATACAGTTATAAAAAAAATAATACAACACTATTCTATATGAAATAAATGTTTTGGCACTTCATTACAAGTGGTAAATAAGTATAGATTTCCTACTTGAAGAATATGTTCTAAACAGATAAACGTTTCTTTTTTTTCCCGTTTTTAAAATCATCTTATTGATAACTTTCATTTGTTGAATATAACACTCTTAACTAGTAGACGATAAATTAAGTAATCTGATTTTCTTTTACATAATTATTATTGTTTACTCACTTAAAAGATGTTTTATTTATTCGCTTATCAACTAGCCTGTAAAATAATGTAAGTATTTGTACAAAAGAAAAATAATACAAAAAGATCTTCCCTTTAAGATAAAGATATTATCAATATAAACTAGTTATATTGAACAACAAACAAAGTGTATTAAGTAATGATCAAACACTTAAGTCGAAATAATTGTGTATACATGATTTCGGTGAGTTAAGTGCTTTTGCAAAAACAAAAAAATAAAACAAACAAAAGAACTGACAGAATAGTAAAACGTTCTAATAATTGGTTAAGTTTGTTTTGCCTATATTATTTACGTTAGTATTCTTTATTTTCCTTCTTTGAATACGGTAGTTTTCTTCAGCTTATAAGTTTTCTTTATCTTCATATTCAACACTTCAATATTCTTTCTAAAGACAACTTTTTCTTTTAATTTACTAAGATAAACAATGCTGTTTGGAAATTCTTAAAATATAAGTTTAAATGCTTATTTTCTCCCTATATACCTTAAACCTTTTTCATTTACTGTATACAAATTACATATTCATACTTTAATTAAACATTCTCAAGTGTTTATAATTGTTAATTATTTTGTTTTAATTTATAATTTGATATTGTTATTATAATGATAATAGAAGGTAATTCATTCATTAAATAATAATAGTATTCAATAATGTTTTAGTTTTCATACAATCTGATATCTCCATTACATTCATATGCTTTTAATGAATGATAAACTATAGGATATTGGAATGAAGCAAACATTTAAAAAAAAACAAGAGAATAGTTGATTCAAAGCTTAATGCTAAGTAATTTAGATGTTTAACTTTTATTTAAAAGCAATTCATCCAGCAAAAAATGAAGAATAAAATAATCAACAGTTTATCTATTCAATTAAGTGAGTTTTTCAAATGTAAAATGTAGTTTAAATTGTATGGAATTGTATTTATATTTACTATGGGATTTGTTTTTCTCTCTCAATGTTACTTTGTATACTAATGAAATCAAAGAGAAATAAGAACGTTTTAAACGACTCAATAAAGTGTTTTTTTTGTCCTAATGCATCTGGAGTCTAAGCGATTTGCGAAAATCTCATTGTAGTTTATGGTTTTATATGAAAATTTACTTAAAACGCTATATGTGATCAAACTCATTATATCACAGTCTCCTGAACAGCGATTTAGCATTCAATTCGATACTCAGTTCAAAACCTTTATAAGTTATGCTTGATATTAAACAAGATAACATAAATGAATCTTTTGATTGAGTAAAGTGTAGATTAATCATTTGTAATGAAATTGTGCCTTTATAAAAAATCGAAGTCGATTGATAAGTATAGTTATGGTATTTTTTGAGGTGTTCCGTAAAAAATTATTCACTACAAACTTTATAACACAAAATAATTACACCAAAGAATAAAAACAATGAATGACTTCAATTTGAAGGTATTCATTTCGCTTAAAAATATGTATAGTTATCATAGAGCTTTGGAATTAGTTTTCAACTCTTAATCAATGACCTAAATAATTAAACAATAAAATTGAAGTAATTAATTTACCCTAATGATAATTATTTTTCAATAATAAGTTTAACTAATGATTGTTTATTAATAATGAAAATGTGGATGTGGACGCACACTGTTGAAGAGTCCTATACTAGGACGAAATGGTCATTCAATGCTTCCAACGTTTTCAGTGTTTGTGTAACATCAATTGATTCATGATGTCAATCAAAAACATAATAATCTCTACAACCCCATACTGATCATTATTAATCATTTATAATTGACTATGAAACTATTAGGAAATATTTCTTATCTGTATACAAGTGACCAAAAACCTACTTATGTAATGAGTTATTACCAGGAAATAGATCTTTGTAATAAAGTCTCTTATTCGTTTTCGTCATTAAATGTAGCTGTTAAAAAAATCTCATATGTACAGATTTCACTTTCTGATTCGACGTTGAAATAATGTTAAATCTAATTCTTTTTAATAGTAGTCCGATGAATTTTTATCTTGTCACATTAATATGTCCCTGAATTAGTGTTGATATCCGGAAACACTTAAAGGAATATATTATTTGAATGCTGTCTTCCTAGCTTAAATCTTCATGTCAGAGTAAATGCACCACCTACATTTTTTCCACACTCATAATTCAAATGGTAATGTAGTGGCCATTTAAGTCACATCACTTTGAATATGAAGCTTAAACATCCACACAAGGAAACTATGTACATCGAGCTTTCATTACATAATCCATTAAATGAAAGGTGAACTTTTGCTCTATCTTATGTTTTTTTTGTTGTTGTTGTATACGTTTATTACAGATTAGAAGTTAATCATAAAAAACCATCTCAAGTATTGTTAAATAACAAATTACAAAATGTTATATGCTTTTACATGGGTGTATCATGATAATTAGCTTATTATATAATTCATTGAAGTACTCATTAGGCAAAAGATTATTGAATTTCACTTAACCCATTGTAATAACGTCTCAAATGATTTACAACAAATTTCCTATCTGTTAATATTATAAACCAGTTTATTAAAAGACGTCAGAATATCAAGATTTCTAATGTTTTGATAGCTATATTTCTTCTGTTTTTTTTCTTTTAAAGTGAAGGTTTTTTGACGTTCTTGTGATTTAGGTTGAAATACCGACTATACTTTAATACATATGCAGGTTAACATTGAAAAAACAAGTAGACTAGTGAAAATAATGACGAAAACGCCTAAAGACTTCTAATGTGATATTAATCTCTTTTTAACGTTTATTAATTATTCATAAGAATAATTCAAAGTACCCAGGTCTCTTTATAGTGTTAGTCATTTTATAGATACTTTCTGTTATTATTTTAATATAGTCAAGTCTATAATATCTGTGAAATTCTAACTACGTTCTTTTTTTAATATGATTTGGACATTTTTCGTAATAACAGTGACATTAGCCGATTGTTATTGAACCTCTAAAATTTGAAATCTACGCAGTTAGAATTCTCATAAATTATACTTCTAATCACATATTGTCGTTTTAGCTTCTATATACAGAACTGTATGTTCTGTCTAATCAGTCAGGCATAATCATCTTGAATTTTGATTTAAATATACTAACGGAAGTAACTCGGTAAATAGTCAGTAACTTCTTGAACAGATCTCAAGATTTGATTTGGTCATGTTTAGTACTCTTTCAGTCTGTCTTTGCTCCAGCCTATATTTCTCGTCATGACAGGCAGTGGTTGAGCATTTGTAGTATGTGTCCCAACCACCTGAACTGATGAAGATGAACAACTCCACCCACGGATTTGATATTTTTGCTTAATGCCATATACCTAATCTCAATATTGTTTCACAATATGCATGAACTGTTTTTAAGGCACCAAATACCATGTAGTCAGTTATCAATTATCTGTACCAGTTATCTGAATAAACTATTTAAACTTTTATAATTCTATGTTACATTTAGAGTGCATGTACAAATAAATATCTATTGTAATAAAAGTTCTAAGATCAATTTCAATCATAATCTGACAAGTTCCTTGGATATTGTAAGGTAAATATTCCAATTAAAATCTCAACAACACTAGAATATACTTTTTGTTCAGGGTTCACAAATTGTAAAAGTTTTTATATCAGATAGAAATATTACAAAAGAGGAAGCAACAGATCAATGTTACGCTACAATGCAAGATACCTTAACAATATAAACTAGCTATTTTATTAAGAATTCGACGAAGAACTTTTAGATCTTGCAGCTATCATGATATCATCAATGTACTTAGTGGATGTTCAATAGACTACGCATACGCTCCGTTCTATTAAACTTAATAACAAATCCACTTTAGTAAATAGCAGACATATTTTCACTATTAACTAGCTTTCAAATGAGATCCATGTAATTTAGGCACGTAACTTTAACTGAATTGTCAATTCAGGTTATGCTATTACACCAACAACAGTCCATAGAAATTCAGCAATTATTTTTTCATTCAAATAATAGACAGTAAGTCAGTAATGAACATACTGTATACTTATTTCTTCTTTAAATGCATGTGGATAAATTGTCAAAGTGTGTCTTACATATATATGTATGATGAATTTAGAAAACTTGTAAATTGATTTAAACATAATATTGACAATGGAACTATTGAAACGGTCTCACGTAAAAAATGTGTAATAATAAAACCATACTTTTATAAAAGAGAAAACAAATAGTTGTATATGTGAAAATTATATTTGAAATAATCTCAACGATTGATATTCAAATTTTTTTCCTTTGATGATTTTGATTTTAATTATTACTCTGAAGAAGTCCAAACAAATTAGATGGACAAAACGTTGGAATTATTTAAACTTCAATCGCTGAGATTATTTCAAACATAATTTTCACATATAATGACTTCTCTATACTCGGGGCCCAATTTTTGTCAAACTATTCGTTCAAATCTTGACGAATATTCGTATAAAGTAGTTGTATAATTAGTTACTATTACGTCACATTTCGATAGTTGGAAACTATACAAATGAAATTTAAAAACACTAAAGCTTAATGTATCATAAAGGCACATATACATATATAATGTAAATTTATCAAACATAACTTACTAATTATCTGAACTAAGACTGTTTCAAGTTCTATTGTGTATTTTCCTATTTATTATATTTCACCGTAATCTTCTTTTGTTCAACTCAAAATTATCTTTTAATTACTTTCTATTTATATTCTCTTCTATTTGTTTGTTCTTTTTTTTAACAAATAAACATATAAACATTCCCTATTTAACCGAAATTAATATTTTATTTTATGGGAAATTTTCTTATTGGTCAGTTTACAATAGTATAATCATCTGTTTGTTTAGTTGTTTATTTGTTTGTTCGTTTTTTGTTTTTCCATATTTTGCTTTTTATTATTATGAATCAATTGAAGCTAGACTACCATAAAAAACCTGAAAGCACTGGATCAGTGGAGTTCAGTTGGGTCAGTTGTGAAATAGTAATTCATTGATGACAATGCTGGATGCATTATACATTAACATGATCGATAGCATTCAATCTACACTAATAAGGACTAGAAAAGCATGACATTGATCACCACTCATAGATCAATCAATTGTGATTACATCTCAGTCCTACAGGAGGTCAGTCGCAGCTCGGATAGCTCAGTGGTAACGTCTCTGACTGTGAAGCTGGGTGACACGAGATCGGATCCGCCAAGGAGCACCAGTTCCCTCAAGATTACAGGTACACCTTGCTGACGAGTGCCAAGTAGCACGAAACCCGGGTCCAGGGTTTCCTGTTGACTACCTCCAACCACCATCTAATACATTAACACCGTTGGATGCAGGCTTAGTGACCTAGTGGTTAAGTGCTCGCGCGCAAGACTGATAAGTTTTAGGTTCGAATCCTACTAGCGGGATCGTAGACGCTCACTGCTGAGGAGTTCCACAATAGAACAAAGTGACCGTCCAGTGATTTCAGGTTGTCCATGATGGTCTAGCTTCAAATGACTCATGATCTCAACTACTGAATTTACTACAATCTCCACAAAACCCCTTCTGATATTTTTCAGTATTAACTTGATACTTATTTCAACTTGAAAAATATTTTTAAAAAAAGAAAAAGAAAACGAAAGTAGGAGAAATGCATAAATGTTGAATATGAATAATTGTACGTTTGATTCAAATAAAAACTAATAGTTAAAGTTAAGAATTTAATAGACTTGTTTCTTTGATGTTGATTACTTCAATGTTACATAATAATATGAGTGTATATTAAATATTATTGTCTATATATTTAAAAAGTATTCTCTTTGAAAGAAGTGAACATTATTCTATATTTACATGTTAACATTTCAAAGATGTCTGCTATATAGATGTTTTAGTCAATGAATATCATGTATCCAAAGCATCTGATTCTCCCTTATTATTATTATTATTATTAATATTTTGTACAAAATTACTTTGATTTGTTATTCTTATTGTAGGCAGAAAATATATTACAACAGTAATCTTTATACTTTATTATGCTTTTTTGCAATTCATCAAATTATCATTTTTCCCTGTGAGTAGACATATTTTGATGCTTACTGAGTTCTATCAGTGAACATATGATAGATATTTTAAAAAGATTCATGCTTTTATCATTTATTGATTTGTTCAGAATGAATCAATATGAAAATTTGAATCAATAATTCACTTTTGTAAAATTGGTTTCTTCCCACTGATCAGTCATCGTCAAATCACATATAAATTTACTAAATGAATGTTGATAAGAAATTTACCAAAATAATATTTTTTTATAATTGAATTCATGAGTTCATTAAAGCTAGGCCACCATGAAAAACCTGGAAGTACTGAGCGGCCATTCCGTTCTAGTATGAAATTCTTCAGCAGTACACATTTATGATCCTGCCTCAAGAAATTCAAAAACAATTTTGATATACAATACATTATGAATCAGTAAGCTTATCTAGTAAGTTGAAGTTTTGATCAAAAGAAATTGAATAACCGCTGTAGATTCAACCAAACACATATTGATAACTTATTTACCTATATATGATTTAAACTAAATTGATTCTTTTCACTATGAGAACAATAATTTAAAAAAGGTCATTTGAAAACGACAATTAAAAGTTGAATAAATAAATACGTCTAGATAAAGAAAATAAAATAAAATAAAAGTTGACTTAAACACACAATCTGATAAAAGTCATTTAGAGAACTTTAACTTGAGTTAAATTTTAGACAATTTCTAATAATCACTTTAGATAATAAATAACATTTCCTTTGATAATATCAGAACATTAAAGTTAAATTGACCGTAAAATCATTATTATTTGCTTAATATTTAAATTCAATTATGATTGATTTCCAATAAAATATAAAATTCAAAAAGTTTGTTTGTTTGTTTTAAAATTTTACTTTTCTGATTCTAGGAACATTATAGGGATGTATAACGATGTACATAAGTAAGTTTTTATATACAGTTACACTGAAGGTTAATTCATGAGGATTTAGGTTTAGTAACAAACGATGATAAGTTCATTTTATAAGCACCTAATATAACTATTCATTTTTTAAGAGTTTTTTAATTGGATACCGGCCCTGTGGTCTAATTGGTTAAACGCTTGGCGTGAGACTGATAGGTCCTGGGTTGAATCCCGCGGGGTGCGGGATCGTGGATGCGCACTTCTGAGAAGTCCCATACTAGGACGAAACGGCCGTCCAGTGCTTCCGGGTTTTCCATGATGGTCTAGCTTCAATTGACTCATGATTTCAATCAGTGAAATTTCTAAAACCTCCACAAAACGTCTTCTGACAGTTTTTCAATTCATTATATAATATAATTGTCATCAATTGGTCACTTTTTCATTTTTAACTTAATTGATTTCATTGACCATAGTACATTTATAACGAAGATGAACTATATTCTAAATTGTTAATTAGTAGATTTCAATACCCTACTCTTAGATTGTCGTGTTAACTGTGAGATCTCATAAGTAATTTTTCATTCTTGTGTTGATTAATGATTATTATCTTTGAGAAAATATTCCAAAATACTAAACCCTGTTTATCAATTCTCTTCGAGACAAGTTCAGTTTATGACAATGATCATTTTTAAAAAAAAAGGTAAATTATCAACTCTTTGAAAGAACTACCCTTTGCAAAATATTTCGAACACAGATTAAATTTAGTTTTTTTTTTCTGTGGAGATGATTACTAAAATAGTTGATATTAAATGCAAGTCATAATTATTCAGATATTGTAATGATGAGTTTAACTTATAATGTCCGCTTAAAACACACAGAATATAAATTATCATACAAAATTTACATATACTTAACCCAATAAATATTTTCAAAAGACCCGATAGGAGTGTACATATGTGTTTTGTCTGTTACAAAACTCCACTGAAAAGATACTAGTAAACATTCATTAATTTCATCAGGAATGATAGATATTACGCTTGTTAAGTTAATTACTGGCCGCTATAACTCAATGACTGCGTAGATATTGAATTGGAATTTTAAATAACAGATATGGAATTCAAAAATTAAAACTAAGATCTTGTTTCATCTAACTGACAAATAGTAAACAGAACCAAACACTTATTATGGCTTCAAGTTTTAACGATTATCAAGATAATATTTTGAAAAATTTAATTACTGTAGTATAGAATGTAAATTTAGTAACTATATATCACTTTCAAAAGTTGTGAACTCAAGTCATAATGCTTAAGTTACGGAAACGGAAATGATTATTAACGACCTATCCCCACAATAGAATATATTTATATAATTTGTTTATTTGTCTTCATAGCCTAGAGTTTATCATCGAACCCATGAATATGTACTCAACCATGTGAGTATTTATATTGCATTATTTCACAATCTGAACTGAAACTCAATAAACATTTTCAAAACAACTGAAATAATTGAAAAATACAGTGTTTATTTTTCAAACCAACACAATTCTATTGGTCTGAATTTATTTATTTTACTTAGCACAACTAATAGGCTGGTTATTTTAAACGCACATTTCAAACTAGTGTTATGTAAGCAATGATGGATAGTGGCTAGCAGTGGAATCCAGGATGCGCATTTCGTTATGTAACATTTTTTTTCAAATATAATAAAAGATAATTCACTGAAGTTACTTAAATTACACTGAAATTTGAACATATGTTGTTTATAAATAAATTAATATATATGTAATGTCGCAATAAGTAGAAGAACATAAATTTTCTGACGTTTCGTGACTCAATGTAAGTCACTTCTTCAGGGAATTTATTTATTCGTTGGGATATTATAAATATATCAATTTATTCATAACAATCTACTCAGTGCTCAATTTATCCGAAATTATCAAGTAAGACCTTGGCAATGTTACCTACAAACTCATATTTTGTTTAGTTGCATGTCAAATTTAATCGGAATTCAATAAAAGGTAGTGAGGTCAACTTTATAAAAATTGATAAATCACGTTACATAAGTATTCGATGCGGAATGGGTAACATTGTGTCGTTTTGTTGTTAAATATTAAAATATCTCCAATTTAACAGTTACTCAGAGTTTATGATCGAAGTGTGTAAGAGTTATTACAAGTCAGTAGGATCCTATGTCTATTCCACAAACAATTGTTTTCTTAAATCTTTTTTTATGTTAAGAGAAATATTATACAAAACATTTTATTGTTCATTTACACTTTAAAGTAACCAGTGTTTAATTTCATGTAGGCTGTAATTATCATGAATGTGTTAATGGGATTCTTTAAATAAACACTCATTATAAATAATGTGATAACCAATTATATGAAAAATAATCTGTTGTTATCAGTTTCTTTTCTCAGTCCACTAAAAAAAATAACATTTTGGTTATATGCACCATACTCATACATAAATAAAATTTGTTTTCATTGTTCTACTCCAATAACTATTTACTTTATTTATTTAGTTGGTTATTAGCTTTATTCAATTTTATATTTTTGGTAAAATATAGAATTCTCAGCACAGAGTATTTCAGTAAGTTTCCGTTTCTTAATTCTTGTTCGATATTGACGATAGATATAGAGTGATCGCCAACTAGATATTACTATTTCAAAAGTCGACATCTGAATAATATTCATTCTTTACAATACATATTGTCAGAATTCACAATGTTTCGTACTATGCATTTTCATAACTTGTAAAGCGAAGGTCGTAAACATTTCATAAACACACTTGAATAGGTTATGCAATGAATTGAAATAATGATGTATTAAAACAAAT